TAGTATTCAGCTGTTTTCAAAGGCAAAGAGAAAGGTAGAAAAAAAAAGAGTCTATCAAGCAGTTTATTTGATAAAATAATTGACAATAGCGCATGATTTTTAATCTGAATATACTGTAATTATTAAAGCAAAAAATTTCTTTTCTGTAATTCTTAAAGCTAACACTACCAGTTTTCATGATTTAAAGTACATAAAGAATACCTAAGAGTAAAACTTACACTGAACTCGTTCTAGCATCTATTAATGCAATAACAGTATTTGTACGTCTAAACTATGATTAGTACGAACCACTGAAATAAATGAGTTGTTCTAGAGAGCTACTTAAGCCATTTCCTAAAGTATCTCTTTGCACAGAAAGTGTCATAATACCCGAACAACGTGATAAGGGTAGGAATGATTATGAGTTCTGAATTTTATAAAACCTGACACAGCAAACTCACTGGTAAATTGCAGGTGACAAATGAAAGTAATAAAATTTTCTTGACTGTCTGCAATGTTGTATACCACCTAAAAGGTTGAATCAAGTAATACTGAAGAAATGCTAAACAGCTAGTATATGAGAAGCAGTGGCGACGACTTAAAAGAAATAATATACATTTTGAAACAATTTATACTAAAAATATGGCGTTTGCATACTAATTAAAAACATTTCACTAGAAAAGCGAAAAAGTTTTAAATGCACACCGTCGTCAGAGCTGCAAAAAAAAGGTTGAAATATTCTTTTTTTTCTTTTTAATATAGACTTACGTCCATAAAAATTTCCTAAAATTGACTAAAAAAAACTCGTCTAAAAGGCGTATTCCAAAACCGAAATTGAAAAACTACGAGAAATTACATTTTAGGTGAACTGCATCTCACTGGCCGGCACAAACCAGAAAAAGAATAATAATTTATCCCTACTGTTTTTAAAAATTAGAAACAATTTCTTTGTAATATCCATCAAACTGCTTCAAACGTTCTATCCAGGACGAAAACTATAAGTACACATGTCATGCCAAATCTTTCAAAACTAAAATTTTTGTGGAAGCTAAAAGTAGATTTTGCAGTGATAGTGAAGGTTAGGCATTTGTAGCAGGAATGAAGCATGAGCTGCAAGGAAGACGGACCATGTATTTTTAACGAGTGTCTATATTGTAAGCAGTGCAGATACTTGTAAATAAATCCATATTTATAGATAAAGCAAAATCTGTAAGTGAAAGGCTATCTGTGCAGTATGACAAAGCTGAATATTAAACTAAAAGAACATGAATTAATCACTTGAGATTGCTAGCATTTATCGATTTAAGCTCGACTGTCACAACTGAATTTCTTTATCCTCCTCCTACGTTTCGTAGTTATCTGTAAATTAAGAATTTG